TTTTAGAAGAGACAGGATTTTGCCATGTTGGCCAGGCAGGTCTTGAACTCCTGACCTCAGATGATCTACCTCTCCGGCCTCCCAAAGTGCTGAGATTACAGGCATGAGTCACCACGCCCAGCATGAAGCAGGTGTTTATATCAGTGAGAGGTACCGTGCGGGCGGCCCAGCAAGTTGGGTGTCACAGTTTCTCTTCTCTTTTACCGGACCTAAACCACAGCTCCCCATGGGAAGGGACTCACGACAGCTTCTGCAGCAAGCTTGTTGGGTGTCCCACGGTCTCATACAGCAACTTGGCACCCTCGTCCAGGAGCAGACTGGCTGAGAGGTGTAGGCGCCTCAGGGACTGGTTGGCTTTGAGAATAAGGGAGAAATCGTCCCACTGCTCTGGGGTGGCCGAGTGACCTCCAAACCTGTGGGAAGAGTGGGAGTAAGTCATTTGTTTGTGAGGACAGAGGGTACCAGATCGGCTTTTTTTTTTTTTTTTTTTTTCCCCCCTTCTCAAAAGGAGACAGTTTCACCCTGTTGCCCAGGCTGGAGCCCAATGGCACGATCTCAGCTCACTGCCGCCTCCGCCTCCCAGGTTCAAGCGATTCTCCTGCCTCAACCTCCCAAGTAGCTAGGATTACAGGCCATGGCACCATGCCCGGCTAATTTTTGTATTTTATTAGAGAGGGGTTGGCCATGCTGGTCTCAAACTCCTGACCTCAGGTGATCCGCCCACCTCGGCCTCCCAAATGATGGGATTACAGGCGTGAGCCGCCACACCTGGCCCTTATCAGCTTCTTATGCTTCACTTCCCAAAACATTGTCTTTGGTTTATCTCATTCTACTCTCCTTTCTGCAACCCTGGCCTGGATTATTGGAGAGATCTCATCTTTCCTCTGCTTCTTCAAGTTTCCTCATAGCCACTGGAGCTACATCCAGCCTCATCTCCAAGAGACTGTAGTACAATTCTATGTAACGTTTCACCAACACGGCCTGTGGGGATGATTTTGTAGGGGGAAAAAATTGTTTTTGAGACAGGAACTTGCTCTGTTGCCCAGGCTGAAGTGCAGTGGTGGGGATCATGGCTCCCCACCACCTCTGTTTCCCGGGCTCAAGTGATCCTCCCACCTGAGCCTCCAGCATAGCTGGGACTAGAAGGGGGAAATTGGTGCTTAATACTCAAAAAGTTTATCCTGGCCAGGCAGGATGGCTCACGCCCATAATCCTAGCACTTTGGGAGGCAGAGGCAAGTCGATCACTTGAGGCCAGGAGTTCAAGACCAGCCTGGCCAACATGGTAAAACCCTGACTCTACTAAAAATACAAAAACTAGCCGGGCGGGGTGGCATGTACATGTAATCCCAGCTACTTGGGAGGCTGAGACAGGCGAATCACTTGAACCCGGACGGCAGAGGTTGCAGTGAGCCGAGATCATGCCACTGCACTCCAGCCTGGGTGACAAGAACAAAACT